CGGGCGTGAGGAGCCGCTGGAACCCCTCGGCAGGAGAGGAGGTGAGGGGAAGGAAGGACGGGAGGAAGGAAGGAAGGAGGCGGGATGGATCAGCGGGTAGAACCGGGGGTGCGTTGGGGCGGTCGCGATGGAGGCGGCGGGTTCGGTCGGGAGGATGGCGGGCTGGCCAGGCGGCAGCGAGCCCCCTGCTCCGGGGGTCCGTGCTCTCAGTGCTCCGCGTCCTTCTCCTGCCTCTGGAAACGGGGATGGTGACGCTTCACCGCGGGACGGGATGGGATGAGATGAGATCACGGTTTGTTTGTCTCGAACCGAAGGTGCGGAGGGAGAACAGCGGGGAGAGGAGCTGCGGGAGAAGCCCCCGGGTTCAACTGGAGAAAGTTTACTTCTGTCCAAAGCGCTCCAGTAAGTAAAACCTCCTTCAGCAATTACGTGGTAGTATGTTAAGTATGTTCAACCTCGATAAACTTTTAGGGCGGGACGGGGCCAGCTGGGGTGGAGATGCCTGAGGTGGTACACGAGGATAGATAGATAAGATAGATAGATAGATAGATAGATAGATAGATAGATAGATAGATAGATAGATAGATAGATAGCTGGGTCTGTGGGTGCTGCTGGAGCAACTGGTGGCTGGTCTTGCGTAATAAATGTAGCCGTTTGTAAAATTCATCATTAACACGTGAGTAAAGCCAGTGTTATGCGCTGACCTGTGTACACATCAGATTTCTCAAAATGTGTCTTTCCGTTCCTGTGTTTTGCCTACCCCTGCTGCGTTTCAGAAACCAAGTAACAAAGATGATAGCTGAAGCAGAACGTGCTTTTAAGTTGGTATCAAATTCAGCCCAAGTCTCGAGGCAGAAAACTGTCTCTAAGCTGATGTAAGAACTAAGGAAAATCAAAGGACTTGGTGGCTTTCCCCTTTCACCAGAAATGACCTCATATAATATCCCCTTATTGGTGCAAAACAGGAAAGGGCAGAACTAGACACAGACACAGTCCCTGCTGCTCACAGAGCTGCTTCCAGCATACTGGAGCTGAGGAATCTACCAGGAGGAAGGATGGATGCTGGTGGCACCACAGCTTGTCTCACAGATGGCAAAGGAATAACCTGCCATCAGGGTGTCTCTCTCTGTATTCCTGCCAAAAGCACAGATGACATTTCCTAGTTCATTTTAACGTGAGCTCTGCTTGAAATTTTCTGTTCCTCTCAGCATCTGCACTGCTGTAGTCTACTTCAGTAAGCAAGCTGAGCTACTCTGAGTGTCAGAACTGCTGCTGGTTTTGTATTAAAGGTGGGAGAAAGAAGTGGTTTTGAGCTTTCACACAGAAAACAATGCACTGACACACCGCCATTCACTGTGCTTGGTGTTTATGTACAGTGGCGTAAATGAGCCTTCAAAAACACAAGTCAACTCCATCATCACAAAACACAAATCATCATTTAATTGCAGTGGTGAATCACCTACTCATAAAAACCCCCAGATTAAATTGTGAGCACTGAGAGAGCTCAAGATCTGCGTTAAGACACACTGGGAACTCATTGCAATCCAGCAGGAGAAACATGACAAACATCTGCACTGTATGAAACCAGTTAAATGGCTGCTCACATGTTTCGCTGGTGAGTAACTGGGAACTCATTCTCTTGTTCCTACTTAAGGTGCCAAGACTTTTCTTTCTTTAGACTCTGTTTCAGTGCAGGAAGACACTGGCCTTGCATTTGTGGGGGAACAGATCGCAGTGTTCCCTTAGGTGCCTCAGATTTTATTAGGATGCACCGCAGTCGCTGAGACTTTGAAACAGAATTCATAATCAATCATCTCTGTGCTGCATGTGAGATGCTTAAAAGAACACACACAAAACCAACCAAAGCCAAGAGAAGTTACTTATTTTTAGTTCTGCATCGGATAGCTGGGATTTGCCAACAGGCAACGGGGAAATGCCTTGAGCTGGTGACAATTCCTCATTTAGGTCTAGAGAATACTCCAGCTGTTGCATTCACTTTACACACTGTCAGAGCAGTCACTTCTAAAACACTGTTTTGTTTCATGCAAGAGGTAAATTCTGACCCAAGAGCCAAAGGTGTCGCTTTGTACATATTTGAATTATGTCTGCCTACAGACAGACTGGTTGTAAAAGTAATTTGATGCCTTCTAGTCACAGGACTGCAACGAGAGCAGAGCACAGAGGCACAGACGCTACCTGCTCCATTTTACTGCTCCATTTTAAGCCCATAAAGTAAATCTTTTTTCCTAAATGACATATTTCTTGCAAAGATAAATCTACCCGTGAGATCCTCACAAAGAGCTTGTTGGCAGCAGCGGTCAGTCGCGGGTGCTTCTCAGAGCTCTGAGAAGCTTCTCAGAGCTTCTTTGCTCCAGTGCTTTCATCACATTTGCTGTCAGCCAATTTGCTATAAATTCTATCCAGTTGCTACACAATAGCACACGAAGTGTTTTAATGCCACACCGAACCCGCGGTGATTTCGTGCTGGTGATTTTTTTACCTCTCCCTTGTTCTCCGAGGAACTCTTTCCACCATGAGCTCCTTTGAAGACGCCGAGACGGAAGAAACGGTGCCGTGCCTCCACATGACCTTTTACCACCCTTGCCAAGGGGAGAAGATGATGTTCCGCTGCCTGAACTTCTGCAAGCGAGAGCAGGTCAGGGCGGACGAGGCGGCCAAGTTCGGCCGCGACTCCAGCGTCTGCCGTTACAGCCTGATGGACGCTCGCGTCTCCCGCATCCAGTTCTCCCTGCAGTTCTACAGGAAGCTCCACAGCTCGGAATGCTGCTTCGAGATCAAGAACTTGAGCAAGAGGACAAAGCTGACCGTGAACCAGACGGAACTGGGTTACCTGAACAAGGTCGACCTGCCCTGGAGGTGCGTCATCTGTTTTGGGGACTACCAGATCTTGGCAGAGGTCCAAGAAGGGGAGTCCGTGGATTATTTTGAGACTCACCTGCACTTGGCCGAAGCGCCAATCTTACAGGAGAGATCCCTGCCATCCCTGCCATCCCTGCAGCCGGTACCCGAGAGTGGCATTTCTTCTTCCATTTTCCTTTGCCAAGACAAAAGCCCCACAGAGATGGATGAAAACGAGCCGTGCTAGCAGGGAGGAGGAGGCTGGATCAGATTTTGCAGACTGCACAGCTCCCAGCATGGAAGGCTGTCACCTCAGTCCAGTATTCCTGGTGGTTCTCACCCCTGCACATCAGCCCTTCTTACCTGGTGTTTTCAGCACGGGCATTCCAGAACATACTTTGTTCCAGACAAGAACAGATTCCTGGCACTGCCTTCACAGGGCCATAAGTGCTCTCTGATCACCAGTTTGCCTGTGGGAGACAGGGGGCCACTCAAATCCAGGGCAGCAGGTTCCATTCCAGAACTGTGACCACGTGCCTTGAAGGGATGTTTAACAGGCATTATTATTAACACAGAGCACACACGACGTGGTTTTGGTCCCAGCTAAGGAGGGACATAATTCCTCACTGCATTTGTTGTACTTTGCTTTTGACATGGAATTCCAAACAGTATTTGCAAGCCTAGGTTGTAACTTGCTGAATTTTGCAATTCAAACACTAGAAACACTTTGTCAGCCAAGTCCTTTTGGGTTTATGTTTTTATTAACTTCGCAGCAAGATTTTTTTCCTCTCTCATTTTTTAAAATGAAATCAAATCTGTATTTTTTGCAAGTTAACTGCTTTTGCTTTGTGATGTAAACAAACGTGCAGCGTCAGTGATCACAGTACATAAAAACCCAGGTAAATTTCTTAATAAAAAGCATTTGGTTGCCTAGTAAGGATTTGCTGTATTTTACAACTACGATCTAAAAAGGAATTTATGGGGAGTAAAATTATTTCCAGAAAAGAAATTTTCACTGGCACTGTTCTGGGCTTTCCAAAAGTGCCATTGCACCAAGGTAAGAGTCACTAGTTTCCTACCTCTACTACCTCCCACCCCAAATATTTCTAAGTATTTTTCATGTTGTTTCAGTGAAGTTTTGCTTTGTCAAGGGCTCAGCTTTTCATTGGCACTTCCCCCCCCACCCCCCAAGTATTTTAGTTTGCTTGAAAGACACACTGGAAAGAATCAGATCATCCATAGGAGTTACCCATCTTATCATCCCTAAATATTAGGATGCATTCCAGCATTAATCATTCCAAGAAAACCATAATTATAGCTGAGAGGAGGAACAGCTGAGATTAAGGCAACCAACCACAAGCGAGAAAAAGTTTATGGGAGAGGCAACGAAACTCAAACACAGGCTTATGTAGGATTTGCCTGTTCATCTCATCCTTGCCAAAAAACACCTTGTTCCCATCTTTTCCACTCTTGGAACTAGGCTGTGGTCATACTTAATTTTTGCAGTCCTCCTTTTGTACTTCTCTGGGCTTAAAAGGCAGGTTGCTCGTAGTGTCGTTAAGTGGTGTTATCCAGTTTCTGTTCACTGGCTCTGTCACACAAGACATTAACCCATGGCACTGATCATATTAATTGCTTACCATTTTTGGGCTGTTACCCTAAACAAGAAGTGACAACCCCAACCTGAAATCCTCAAGGCAGTATATAAACAGAAGCATCTACAAACAGCACTTAACCTGAGAAGAATCTTCTGTCTGGTCTGCACAGTTCAGAGCACTGAGCCTCAGCAGATTTGGAGCCAGAGCAGAGCATTCCTTAGGCACATCTCCAGGAGCCAGGAGAACACCTTTGGCATGGAAACAAACCCCCAGCTATTTACTGGTTTCCAAGCAACAATAATTTCTACAACTATATTTACTTGGGGTAAGAATTAACCATCTAAAACATGCATTAAAAAATGAATCCTATCACTATGCTGATGTGACCAGCATCACATTATTTTAAACATTATTTTAACATTATTATTTTAAACATTATTTTAAACAAGGAATGTTATTTTACCTTTGAAGTATGAGGGTACAGCTGCTCATTTCCAACAGGAGAAGGGCTCCACGCTCCAAAATTCCTCAGGTTCTCTGTTACTGCCACTTGTTTGGAGCTTCCCATTCAAAACAGCAGGTCTCCAGAGGGGATGCTGTGGGATTCAGGAGTTAAGGACACAGCCCATCATTTCTTAAAACCTTCCTCAGTGAGCTGATGCACAGGTAATT